TGAATATCTAATGAACTGGCTATTAAACACCCCTAGATTCCTGTAAAATTAATTTCAGCATCACACATTGTATGCTTTCTTGTGACTCTGTGTCTGTTTAGATCTCTCATGGACGCCTTTTATGCCACACCAAGCAAATCAGCTTCACATAAACCCATCAAAACATCTTTATTGATTTCTTTGTCTCCAAAGTGCGATTTTGTATTCCAGCCAGCTTCTTTCAGTGAGAGGTCAGTCAGTGCTTGTTATTTTCCTCTCCATATAATTGACTAAAGATCTCAGAGGAGGATCAAGAAAAGGGAATGTTTATTTTCAATTGACCAAACTTAACTGTAATACATTTATATTTTATACCAGGAATTGTAACACGAGAGAATTAAAGTGAAGAGGAGAAAGAGAAGTTAAGACATCAAAACGCACATTCTGCTTGTAAGTTAAAATTTCGAGTGTTGTTTGTTGAAAATCTTTCCTAAATATCTTCTGCCTCACATCATTCATGATGACTGAAGAAAAGGCTGTGTGTTTGGAATGATAAAATTGTGAGTAAATATTGTCTGAATGGCAGAATTTTCATTTTTGAGTACGATTAACAATTTGTAGTCTTCAACAATAGATGTCAAACCAACCAAAGCAACTGAAGGCCTTCATTCAAGTTCCTTAGTTTTTCACATCACTATTAAATCATTAGTCATATTCAACAACAGGAAATTAGCAAAGCGTAACACATTTTTATCTCTACCGGTACATTTCCCTTCCTCAAGCACTGATCTGAGGCTGTACACTTTCATTTGGAAGAAATAAATAACAGATCATAAAATATCTGTTACTGAAACTGGTGTCGGTTTCATTTCATTAGACCACAATGATGCTATTGATCAAATAACAGCATTAATGGCAATCTCTCTCTCTCTCTCTATCTCTGTCTGTCTGTCTGTGTGTGTGTGTCGTATATCTTCATTTTGGTTTCCCTTCTGAGCGTGTGTTGTTGGAGCTGCAGACAGGAGAGAAAAAGAGCAATTTATTTTTACCTCAAGGCTCTTTCCCCTGGGCTAATGCTTTCATCTTGTGAAAGAGACAAAAATCCCTGTATCACTGCACTTGTAAGAAAAAAGAAAACTCTATGACCTCCAACCGAGAACCCTCAATACCCTGCAGAAAAACTGCCTATAATTAATTTACACCGAGTTAGATACTATAATTGAAGTATTGCACATCTGAATTAAATGCAAATGTAGAACAAAGTGTTTTTTTTGTGGTTAACTTAACTATATTATTTATATATATTTGATTATTTGTAATTATTTAAATTAGTTTTTATACCATAGCTACTCTAGGGATGTCCAGAGCTCTTAACATCCTGCAGGTGTGTTTGATTCATTGATTTCATTTGTGGAAGTACACCGCCACCTGCAGGTTAGTTTGTGCCATTACACTGAGTGTAGCTCCTCTGGAGAAATGTTTCTGTTCACAAATTCACATCACTGGTGATTTGAGTATGAAATCTACTATTTATCATATTATGACAAAAATCAATGAGAGGTCAAAATATTACTGCCAGATCGTAATCATGGCGCAAAATGAACAGGCATGAAAGGCATTTTTTTATATATATATATATATTTTCTATTATAATAATATTTATAATATTTGTTTTCATAAATGTTATAAAGCAGAATCCTAATAGTGGTAATTCACATTTGTTTCAAACTTGTTTTCAAACTCCTGAGATGATGAGAACTCCTTTCTTGATGCGATGTTGTATATGTAACTAATGCAATATGAGAATACGCAGGAAAAACAAAATGTATAATACAATACCTGGCATGTGAAATTTAGTTAACAAGGTAAAGAAATGAGACGAATATGGATAAAATATGCAGGAAAAACTCTAAAAATAACTGAAAGAAACTAGTTTGTCAAAGGTATTATGTCAACACACCCACTAGAGCCTGAAATGCAGCCTAAAGAAAGCCAAATATAACCAGAGTGAAGATATATTAAAAGGAAATTAAATTAGCCTACCATTTTTAACCGCAGAAGAAAAAAATACTTTTTTTAAAAAACAAAAAACAGACCAGCATATTACATCAAATTAATTTTCCCTCATATAAAAGCAAACAGATGGGATGTAATGACGTTATTTGTTTATTAGCAGTCAGATCTAACCCAAAATATTATGTAAGGTAGATTGGAATTATGAAAACTGTAGTTACATTCAGTTTATCTGAAATATGACAGGTTCTTCACAAACACTCCGAAAATAAAACCGTTCAACAAAGCTCTGTTGAAGAGTTGGGAAGCGCTTTGGAAGATTTCCAGGCCCTTTCTGGGAATGTTCAGCATTATCCTTTTTATTTTCCTTAAATTGAGAACATCCATTACTGATCCATTCACACAACATACACACTTGCTCTAATATAAAAAAAAGGCCAGGTAATAATATCAATAGTCCCAAATATTAACTTGGGAATCTGTTAAAGCTGCTGCTAACCCTGCAGTAATTTAGATACACCAACAAAAACAAATGTCATCATTGCACACAATAGCTACACATGATATTTACAATCACATGGGCCTGTTCAACTCCGACCAGTGGACAAACATTCATGTATTTTTGCATATGTGCTCCCAAACTCTTCAAACAGGGCGAGTTACGTGATCAACTCAAAAGACAGAGAAAATAAAGAAAAAACACTGCATTGATCACACATAATTTACATTCAGATGACATGAATACGTCTCTTTTGAGGTGTGCTGGTAGAATAAGAAAATAACGTGACATGATTGTGCTGTACAGAAGCTCTTGTGCACTGATGTTCTAGACAACACTACTAGATTACAGACCTCGGCCTCGTCAAACACGAGTCTCCACTGTTCTTCAAGGCCTTTAGTGTCTGCTTTACAATCCATTATATACAGATCAGCATTCATTAAAAGCATTAGGTTGAATTCAGACTCCAATCTGAGGGAAATATGGGGATCAATGTATGAGGCAGACAGAGGAAACAAGATGCAGGCGAGTCAATTTTATGAGCATTCAGAGACTGACATAAAGCTAATTCCTTACTGAATGATGAATCATTCTATCATTCTAACAAAACAAATTTACATTACAATTAGCAATTAAGCTTGTTGGGTGAACATCAGAAAATTGTCCAGGTCATATGTAACCCCAAAATCAAATAGAAAAATAATTTCATACCATAAATAATTTCATACCCCTAAATAGTTTTTTTTTTTCATGTCCAGGTTATATTTCACCTCGACAATAAATGAAATAATAAGCACATACACATTTTTTAGATCTACTGTATTTGTGTTATTGTAAGTGACTTTTTTTTTTTTCACATTACAGGAAAGAAAATAATAGGTTTTGGAAATACAGTAATAAGAACTGGTGATCAAAATGTGCTTAATTTTCATAAAAATAATGTAAATCAATGGAAAAAAATATGCTTAATTTTCTTTATGAAAAATAATATTTATTTTTTTAAATACAACCTGGACATGCTCCTGAAAGATTAGGAGGATACCCAAATCAAATCACTGATCATTTCTAGGCATTAATTCATTCAATAACATCCGCATTATCAAAACCAGAGATAGCATATGAAGATTTATGTTTCACCATCAAGTATTTTCCCTCTTCAAGACCCATTTTGTCCAAAAATGCAGTTGTTTCACCACAAAGTATTTTCCCTCTTCTAGACCCATTTTGTCCAAAAATGCAGTTGTGAATGTGAAGAACAGGCTCATTCACTAGCGGTTTCCAAGAAGCATCCACCACAAACCCTTTAACCCACAGACTCATACAGGCAGACATACAGTGACCAATTTAAAAGCACTTATGGAACTTAAATGTGTTCCAATGCATTTTATCCTTGAGGCAATACATTTTTAGAGAAAAGGTCATTCCCTTAAAACTGTCAAGTGTCTCATTCCCTGACAGTCACAAGTTAAATGAGAGATGGTCCGTCTGATGACTTATCACAATAACCATACAAATAAAAATGTATGATGGTTCTAGAAAACATCTGTGGCTTTTGAGAAACTTCCCTCATCTTCTAAAATTGCACTTGATTCAGTTCTCCAATGAAAACTTCTGAAATAAGGCTGAACTAAAACATTTTTTTAAATCCCATGAAGTATTAACGCAAGACATTTCCAGAGTTCATTTAAAAACTCAACCCAGTTACCAAACGGAAATTAATATATAAATTACAGATGCATCTAATAACTCAAAACAGGAGCAAATTAACCTGTGGAACGCAAATCCTAATGAATCTGTGACCTAATGGAGTGAATCTCATGAAATCTGTCAAGAACATGACCAGGTCATATTTCATCCCAAATTAAATTAGATATTGCATAAAGAAAATTAAGCCTTTTGTTAGGTCCATTAAGATTTAAGATTTTAATTTTTGTGGACCACTGATTTCATTTCCCACCAATTCTCATTACCATAATGTCAACCTAATATGCCATATTTAAAGGCAAAAAAGTTTACCCAAAAATGAAAATTGTCATTATTTACGCACCTCATGTCGTTCCAAACCTGTAAGAATCGAACACAAAAGATGATATTTTAAAGAATAGCCAAACACTTGCTCGTAGCCTTTGACTTCCATAGTATTTTTTTCATATTATGGAGGTGAATGGCTACCAGCAACTGACTGGTTACCAACATTCTTCAAAATATCTTTTTTTCCTGTTAAACAGAAGAAAAACTCTTACAGGTTTGCTACAACATGAGGGTGAGTAAATGACGACAATTTTCGTTTTGGGGAGAACTAACCCTTTAAATTGAGAAATATCATGCTTAAATTTATTGTATTGATTTTTTGCCAAATTAAAAAGTAAGAAATTCTTGTATTAAATTACTCAATTTGAATTATAAATCTCAAATTAAAACATTGACTTCATTACAGTAATGAGAATGTCAATGTAAAAAAAATAATATATGTATATATAGTAAAAAATAAATATATAATTTTTTGGGATCAGTCATGACCAGATTTTCATGACATTCACACCCATGTGAACGTCATGAAATATTCATGAACCCATGACAAAGTAGAAATCATATGAAGCACTTATTTTCCTTGTTATGAATTATGAATTTAGTTTTCTACATTAGGTTAACTGGACCGTCTGTGGTCATATTACACTGCATCTGAATGAGGCATTTGAAGTTGCTGCAGTCTCACTGTCTCTTGCTGTAAACTATCTCTCCTGTTGGTCAGAGCTGGCCTTTTGCCCCGCCTCCTCAGTGGGTGTGTCCAGTACTGGATTAACAAATCCCTCAAAGTCTTCATCACCGTGGTCACCGCTGCCCTCTGGATGTGCGTTGACAAAGTCGTTCTCCCACTCCAGAGCGTTGGAGTCCTCAGAGGTGGAGGTGGGGCCGCTGTCCAGCTGTTTCCCGCCGGGGCGAAGGGCCGCGCGTAAAATGTCCTCCTCCGTTTTGGAACGCTCCCATGCAGGACCCATCTGATTCATTCCTGTATAATGCCACGTATTAATTAAATTATGAATTACATTAACCTCATAGGTTCTGTTAATATGCCACTGGAGTAATGATGCTGAAAATCCAGCTTTGCATCACAGGAATAAATTACACTTTAAAATATATTACAATAGAAAATAGTTATTTTTAATTGTAATAATACTTCAGAATATTACGGTTTTATATAATGCAAGAACATTTTTACAAAAACTGTACAAAGGTTTTCTTTAAAATATCTGAGAACATTTCAAATGTTCACAAAGTCTCATGCGTAATATTTAATATTTAATATAGTAGATAAACTATGAACACCATATTTTTACTAAATGTATTAATGTTTGTTAATGTGAGGAAAAACACTAATTTTTCTTGTTTGTTCATGTTGTATTGATGTTATAAGACAAATGCTGCTTTCATAAGTTCATTAATAAATGTTAAAATTTGCATGAACCTGTGTTTTTTAGCATCACTGATATACTATAATAGACTTTATTCATATTTTGAATTAGATATTTTTAGGTTTTATTTTCCCTTTAATTTTAGTTAGTAAGCTGTATTTTTGGTCATTTTTATTATTTGTCTTTAAATGTATATACTGTTTTTATTAATTATGTATTAGTTTTAGTTTATTTATTTTAATACTTCAGGTTAAAATAAAAAAAAAAATTGAAATGTTGCCTTGGAAAATAGTTAATTTATATATTTTTTTTAATTCCAAGCAATGGTTTTACTTTTAGCTTTAGTTAACTATAATAACCCTGACGTGAACAAAGATTAATAAATGCTGCATAAGTACTGTTCATTTATAGTTCATGTCAATAAAGATGCACCAATTGCAATTTTCTTGGCCGATTCCGATTTCCCATTTTTTTTTGTAAGTTTGACCTACCGATAACGATTTTTGCAGATTTCGATTTTCTTTCTAAAAACTATAATTGACGGCATATACAAACAAAAATCAATACTTTTTAATGAAAAATAAACAAACAAACATAAATTATTAAACATTACAATTCCCCCAATCTGGACAAAGTTACAGATGTTCTCTCACCGGTCACCAGTCCGGGCCGGTCATTCGGAAAATCGGCTAATTCTGGTCCCTGGCCAGTCGATCGGTGCATCTCTACATGTCAACTAATGTAATTCACCAATCCCAACAAATGAAACCATTAGGGCTGCACGATTAATCGAATGCGATTGTCATGCGCATTTTGATAGTAATGCCGGTTCTGTAATCAGCAGAAAATTAAAGCAGCGATAGGCATTTTCTGGGTTTCTTCTGCGAGACATATTTGGAGTTTCAGCGCGAGAGCACCTTCTGGCATTTGGATGGAGATTTACTGCTGATCACAGAACAGTGCTTCACTGAAAGGTACGCATGACAATCGCAGCTTCTGTCGAATCGCGATCTCGATTCCATTTCAATTTATCGTGCAGCCCTAGAAACCATAATGCAAAATGTTACTGAAATGTTGAAAACAAATGCTTAGCCAGACCTGACTTGGAAGTGGCATTTAAAGCTCAACTCAAACTGGCATGTTTTGACTTGACTTGGCATATAATAAATGATTACTGAACGCAAGAAGGTTCAGTGAAGTGACTCACCCTCCTCATCCTCCCACTCCAGGTCCAGTGAGGTGGCATCAGTCTTACTGGTGAAGTCCCAGCTGCTCTCCGTGTTCGGGGTCACCACATTCGTCTCAGAGCTGAGTCCTAAACACACACAGAAAAAAGATAATATTTTAGCATTTAGAGATTAATACTCTTTCATTGAAATCCATGTATTCTGTAATATTTGAATTGAAATGTGTTAATGGGAACTCACTGTTACTGCGAAACGCTTCAGATTTAGCCTTCACACTCTGCAGGTACACCTCAAACTCTGCATTTGCTTTGCTGCAGAAACACACACACACACACACACACACACACACACACAGTTACATCAGCCATCTGCAAAACACTGCTGTTATCACCATAGATGTATGTAGTGAGACTGTGGACATCATGACAGTCTTATGAACCTCTTATTACAGTAAAACTGCAGACGCGGCTGATCATTCTGGTGCAACATTACTGTGATTTTATCAATTCCTGACAATTAAAAAACACCACAAGTAAGAACCACTAGCACACTTTAAATTTTTGTGTGAGCTGAACCCCTTCAACCTAAAATGTTTTCCCACTGAGATTTTAAGTTAATATTTTAATAATTTAACAACATATATCCACGGTTCTCTGTTGACATGACATGAAGGTAAACAACTAAATATTTCATGTTTTTTTCAGTAAAGTTGACTGTTATTTACATTTTTTATTTAACATCTACATTTATTAGCTTTTCATAAACTCGCAACCCCCCAGCAGTTCCCTCACGAACCCCAGTTTGTGAAACCCTGCTTTAATGAAACTAGTAAAAATATGTTTGAAATTATGCAATACAAAATAATACATATAATAATATATACAGTATACCAGGGCTGCATGAAGAATCAAAGAAAAGCTAAGGTTGCGATATGGCTTAGTGTGATTATCAAATCCCAAAAGGCTGCGATTTCATTAAAAACATGTACTATGTGTTTGTAATGCAAGTTAAATTATTATATTATTTTTCTTAAATACTCATTTTTTAATTTACAGTAAAATATTACAAGTGTGATATTTCTTATTTTGTCTTTTAGTATTTTTTTGATGTATTAACAGTATTGTCAGTACAAATAATAATAACAATAATAATTATTACTATTACTATCATTATTGTTTCTATTATTTCATAGCCATATTGATAATATAAATCACAAAAGTTTGGCCAAATTGTGTAGCCCTACAAACAAGCACAGCTAAACTGGGTGTATTTATTTTCCACTACTATTTCAATCAGACTTTTTGTCAGAAAAATCGCAAATAGATAATATAATACAAAATGCGCATGACAAAAGGTACTAAAATAAATATATTATAACAAACATAATATAAATTCTATATAAGCTCAAAATAAAAGGATGCTATTTATGAAGAAAAGTCCAATTTCATTTGTTTGCAATGCAATGACACTCATACTTTTTTTTTTTTTTGTCACTGAATATCATTTACATTTATTTCAGAGTAGAATGAACTCACGGTTTGTGCCGAGGGTCATTGCTCTCTGGTTCTGATCTGGGTTTGGTCCTCTGCAGCCGCTGCTGCTGCTTTCCCTGAAAACACAACATTTTAAAAATGACGACTGACTCACTTCCACTAATATTTCACCAAGCACTATGCTATCGCTCTGATTTTCGAAAAAAAAAATGCATTGCTAAAATTATTTCTAACTGTTTGTGCCAAAGTTTAGTGCCCTACTGGGAAACAGACACCAAATGTAATATTAGCAGATGGTCAAACACACAAATCATGGTAGAAAGCAAAATAACAGGAAATAAAAATGAACAGAGGACATGAGGGCAAATTAAGAAGAAAAATGCTAATAAAACAGGAGGAAATAAGAGACATGTTGTTTAGTTAGTTTTAAGTGGAGAAGGTTTTCTTGGAAGCAGATCGATTTTACTTGTATCTGCATTAAGTGCTGAGTTTATTCACAAGACGTTGATCAATACGTGACGAAGGACCAACGTTAAGAGCCTTCAATCCTGTTTATAACTATTCATTGCAAGTCATAATCTATATATAACACATTTCAAAGATGAGTCTAATTTTAACAAAAAAAAAAACATGATATACAATGCATAACTTACAAACTCAAGTAACTATTCCTGTTAAAATCAGAATCTGTTATTACACAGAGCTGAAGGCGTGTCATAAATGAAAGGGGTGTGGCTGAAGGTTAATGGGCGGGGTTAATAGAAGGGCTGGGCGTGCTCAGTGCGAACGCCTCACCTCCTTTAGCTTTCGTTCCTTAGCGAGCCGCGCTGCCTCGCGCTGAGCTGCAAAAACAGCCTCCTCTTCTAGCCTTAACTTCTCCTCTTCTGCCACTAACTGGGCAGAAATCACAACAGAAAGGGAAGGTTAACTAAACTCAGAAATAAAAGCAGGGGCGAAAAAACAAAGCAATGGGACACAACAAATGAAAGCATAAACTCAACATAAGCTCTAACTTAAAGGTAAACATTGTTTTGTGGCAACTTGTTCTGAACTTGACCATTTAAAAGTCAACATGAAACTGATCTATTTCACATATGATGACCTGCTGTACCTCTGCATTCAGCTTCTCGTCAATCAGCACCTGTTTGTCTGAGATGGCAGTGTAGCATTGCTCCTTCAAGTGATTAATCTCCTCTTCACTGACGGGTCTGGACCAATGACAGGAGAGAGAGTTTAGTTCACAGTCTCCATCGACCAATCAAAATGCTGATCTGAGAGGAACGTGACTAATAACAGTTGTAACTTGGTCATGTGGAACAACATGAGGGGGAGTAAATGATAATAGAAATTTCATTTTTGGGTGGATTATACCTTTAAGTGACACTTGGATACAGTTTAAACAGTTTACAATACTCACATTGATAGAACAAAATTGAAGTCACTGTCCTCAAATCAAGACCCAATAATACTGTCTTCAAAAGTTCATTATGCAGCAAAATTAGTATTGGATTATGAGGAGAAAATGTTCCAGTGCTATAAAAAACACAGTTTTCAACTGCCACAAATCAAATATGAACTAAGGTGTCTGCAGTTAATAAACCAGTCAGGCGTTTAGTGACCCAACTGTAAAATACGGATAAAAGAATCCAGACTAAATAATATTATACCTGGGGCAGCTTTGTGAACTCTCACCCTGAAAAAGAAGACACAAGTGTTGACGTCTAAGCAAAAGAGGAATATTGTAAAATCGTGATTGTGGTTCTGTAAGTTTGTCCTCACCTCATCGCTCTCCACAAGGTTCTCAAACTGTAACCAAATGCATAGAAGTCACTCTAACTGCACAGAGATTATTTTTTTAAATAAATGATTATCTTCAGTTTTAAATTAATTATGATGGCTGCACCTCAATGGTATAGTGCTCCCCAGCTGTGCTGCTTCTGAAGTACTTTGACCTAATGTAAAAAAAGTAATAGTCAGTATGAGGCCAGGCATGTTATATGTGAGGTAAGTTAACATTCACTTCCTCCTGGCAGAGTGTATTAAAATACTTCAAAAAATAAATGATTATCTTCAGTTTTAAATGAATTATGATGGCTGCACCTCAATGGTATAGTGCTCCCCAGCTGTGCTGCTTCTGAAGTACTTTGACCTAATGTTAAAAAAGGAATAGTCAGTATGAGGCCAGGCATGTTATATGTGAGGTAAGTTAACATTCACTTCCTCCTGGCAGAGTGTATTAAAATACTTCAAAACATGATTTAAGTAACAGTACTGTCCAATATGATCATCACTTGAAGATTCTGAGATTCTATTCTGAGAAGCATCAGATGGAGACTTCTCAAAACAATACTAGTCATAATCTAAAACTCTACAAAGAACATTAAAAACTATTGAGTGTAAAATGTTTCTTGTTCTATTTTAGATCTAATATATGAATTCAAATACACACATGATGACAAAACTGACGTCCCAGGGCGGATTCACAAAAGGACTCTGGGCGTGGTCCTCAGATCAGACATCAACTAATGCGGAAACTAGAGTAGCATTGATAAGTCTGAATCATTTAAGCGAATCGGTTCATTCGGACAATTCGTTTCAAAAAATGATTCGAATCATCGCTCAAAATTGTGAAATGAATTTGTTATTTTTATATATTCAGTAAATGTTACAATACCTAAGTATGTGCAATTACATACTTGATCACAATATGAGTCACTTAATTCTTCCAGAGTGAAGTGATTCTCAAACACAATGCGAATCGACTCAAATGAATCATTATAACGAATCATTTTAAAAGAACGATTCGTTCTTGCAATGAACATCACTAATGGGACTGCTATCAGTTACTTTCTACTTATACAAATTCTGCGCATTTAATGTAACTGTAAAGTTGTATTAACTGTTTTGAGTCAATTGTTTAAAAAAAAAAAAAAGATCCAGCGTTTTTCAACTGTTCACTGGCTGTTCGATGGTTTTCCAATGAAAAGCACCTGACAGACGGCGAATCATGCAGCCAAAGATCACGGATACCTTTTTTTTTTTTTCATATTAAATAGCAATCCCCATGAATGACTCACCCTCCTCCTCTTTGTATCCTGTTTGCTTCCCGTCTAAAGAGCCCAAAACATTGAGCCCAGCAGTTCCCCATGGCATGCACGGATCCGGTGTATGTATCAGCTACTCTTCCATTCCGGATCCGTATCCTGCTTCTTTACGCACTGCTTTGGACGCGAGGACTTTATTCTGCATGACTCGTTTGAGCGCTTGGCACACGACCGGTTCGCACAGGTGAGTCACCTCCGGACACTTCGCTCTCGCAGCGGCATCATTCATCGCCCATGGCTCGCATTCTCAGCTCCGGCCTAAAAGCCTTTATTGTTTCTTCTTGACAACTCATACATGTGATTAATGTTTAAACTACGGCAAGTCGCGAGGCTCAAGTGCTGTAATGACGCGACCGAAACACTGGGGGCCGACAGAGATCATCCGTACTTAAAATTACCATGGTAACCAGAGTTTTCTCTGATAAATCATAGTTAGGATACTGCAGGTGGTGCTAATAATGAAGAACTATGATAAGTTTATAACTATTATAAGCGTAACTGTTTACATCAACAAGCCTATAGGCCTATATATAAGCACTTGTTGTAATGATGTGCTATGCTTGCCCTAAACTATGCATATTTGTTTTGCCAAAAATGAAATTTCTATCATCATCATTGTCTCCCCCTTATGTTACTTCAAATCCGTATGATTTTTTTTCTTCTGTGTCCTTTCAAGATTTTCTTTCTAGAAATCCTATTGTTTGTCATACCATTTACCTTTGACTAAATTCGCAGTATAGAATGGCCATGTAAATATAATGTTAATACATTTTGCGATCCAAGCTTCATGCTCCCCTTTGACATAAAAAATGTAGTTAAAACATCCCTGAGGAAGTAAATCCTCAGGGATATAAATATATATATA